CTCATCCAGGCTTTCAAGATAATTAAAGGAATAGATAATGTCGAGTGTGGTAGGTTTTTCCAGTTTGATGACAGCAAGAGAACGAGAGGTAACCGACTTAAGTTGCGCAAACCGCAGGTGCGGCTCAGGTCGAGACAGGAATTCTTTACTTGCAGAGTGGTGAACGCATGGAATGCGTTAGATGACGAAGTAGTGGCTGCCCCCGCGCTGTGACTATCTTTAAGAAGAAACTAGATGCTTTCATGGACAGGCAAAAAGGTGGGGGGCAATGTTGACGTTAGGTACTAGACAGTAAGCAACTAGGATAGTCAAAAAACAAAACAAAACAAAATACAGAAATATTTAGCTTTAAGAGGGTTAGGCCTACCCTAAAATTAAGGAACGCTCGACCTCGACACGTGATATCGAAATGGGCGAAATTGCCTCTTGATATCACTAACTCTCTTGCACGAGCAAGAAGTTCATAGCAGACACATGGGAAGGGGGAGGGCAAAAGAGGCAACTTGCCCCGGGCTATATGCCTGGGGACCTCCACTCCTGGAACCCAACCAATCACGTTATTCATTCCCACGTGCTGAACCGTCCTGATTTGGCGGAAGCACTTGTAACTCTCGAGGCATCGAAGGCCTCTCCAGAAACATCTATATACGAAGTCTGATCAAAAAGTTCCAGTACTTTTATTCGTAAACTTTATTTTTAATAAGTACATTAAAATTAATTGTTGTCCTCTTCAAAGTATTCCCCCCTCGATGATATGCACTTATCCCAACGCTCCTGCAACTTCCGGAAGCAGTGCTGGAAGTCTTGGAGTGTAAGACTCTTAAGCTGCCTCGTCGCATTTTCCTTGATGCTTGCAATGTCTTCATGTCTTTTTCCTTTCAGGTGGAATTTATTCTTGGGGAACAGGAAAAATTCACACGGAGCCAGGTCTGGTGAATAGGGAGGGTGGGGCAACACGATTTTTTTTGTAGCCAAAAACTCTCGAATTGTGAGAGCAGTGTGGGCTGGAGCATTGTCGTGATGCAAAAACCAGGCTTCATTTGGAAAAGTTGGGGCCGTTTCCTCCTAATTTTTTTGTCGCAGACGAGTCAAAACATCTTTGTATTAGGTTGTTTCACATGAAATGTCCGATTTTTCTCTATACAGGCAGTCCTCGACTTACGACGCTCCCACTTACGACACTTTGACTTAGGACGCTCTAAGCCTAGGGCTGAGGGAGTCATTGACACGTAGGCCTGAGGCCTCCCCCGTATTACCGTCACATGTCGAGGACTGCCTGTACAATATGATATCTTCAAAAGAATTGAGACTACTTTTTTTGTACGAGTTCAAATTGGGGCACAACGCAGCTGTAGCCGCGAGTAACATCGACTTGGCGTTCGGGAAAGGGACTGCTAACCAGCGGACTATTCGGCGGTGGTTCGAAAAATTTCGATCTGGAGACATGAATCTCGAAAATGAGCCCCGAGGAAGGCCTGAATCTGTTGTGAATGAAGAACATTTAAGAGCCATTGTGGAAGCTAACCCACAAACGACAGTTCGGGCTCTTGCAATAGACCTAGGTGTTTCTATTGCAACTGTTTCTCGACACCTGGCTGCAATAGGAAAGGTGAAAAAATTGGACAAATGGGTGCCGCACGAATTGACGGACAGCCAGAAACTGCGACGCCTGGAGGTGTGTTCATCGCTGATGGTCAGGAACAACAAAGAGCCATTCTTGGAGCGAATCATTACCTGCGACGAGAAATGGATCCTGTACAATAACCGGAAAAGAAGTGGACAATGGTTGAATGCTGGTGAAGCTCCAAGACATGCACCAAAACCGCCATTGCACCCAAAAAAGGTCATGGTGACAGTATGGTGGTCTGCAAAGGGAATCATAGACTAATCTTTTTTGCAACCGGGACAATCAATTACAGCAGAATCATATTGTCAGCAAATTGAAATTATGCATCAAAAATTGGCCACCGAACTGCCAATATTGATACACAAACAAGGACCGATTCTGCTGCACAACAATGCTCCACACGTCACGAACCACCGTGGGAAAATTAACAGAATTGTGCTATGAAATTTTGCAGCATCCACCATACTCACCTGACCTTTCACCAACGGATTATCACCTTTTCCGTCACTTGGAGCTTTTTCTCTGGAATAAAACATTCCGGGACCGAGAGGCTGTAATTGGAGCATTTGAGGAGTTTGTTAATTCAAAAAATGTAGAATTTTATAGAAATTGAATATTTTCCTTAGTATCCCGTTGGGAGAAGACAATTCAAGCTAATGGAGCATATTTTGATTAAATGAAATTTTATTTGTTAAAAATATAGCCTTTTAAATCTCATCTTCAAAATCGGACATTTCATGTGAAACAACCTAATATTAAGCTTCAATCCATGCTTTGGTCCATTTTTTGGTTCGAGAGAGATATACAGTACTTCAATTCTTCTCTTATCCTGATTTTCAGTCATGACTGGCGTTGGTTTGGGATGCCAAAGTATTTACGAAAGCTACAGGGTGATTATAAAAAAAAACTTCCCTTGTTCAACGCATCAGATCTCATGAATGGTTAGACACAAAATCATGAAAATTGATACGAATTCTGTCATCCCCATGGCTCCTAAGCCATGGGGATGACGGTGCTTTACGTTTCTTGTCTTGTCAACAAAAGTGAACTAATAGCGCCTCTTTTGATTATCAATTGTGTTAAATGTTTGCTCCTCCATTATCCACTATGCATTGCATTCGTGGGATAACGGACATGACAGCAGCACGTCGCATATCCTCGGTTACTCTCATTGAACTTCATGAACCTTTTTTTTTTCTACTTAATCGTCCAAAAGTTGTAAATCCATCTTGGCTCTCACCAGATAGAGATACTCATTTTCATATCGTCGGCAAATAAGCCGATTTCATTGGTGAGGCCTTGATCTAAATCGTTAATGTAAACAATGCATGGGAACAATCCCAGGATCGCGCTGGGGGACCCCATTCGCCTCTCCTACTTCCGCCGACACTTTAGCCTTTTAGAATTAATTACTCTTTGCTTTCTTCCCCAACGACCATGACGACTCATCCAGTTATTTACCCTACCTCGAATCCCATCGGGGCCGATTACCTTTCCTGCCTTTAGCAGCCTATTCGTGATCTCTTCCTCGGTGATATCTTCGATGCACGCCGAGGTGACCATCGTCATCGTCGGGATGCCATCGGATCCACTCGGGAACACGGAAATAAAGAAATCGTTTTGAATCTGACCTAGCCTCTGCTATTCCCAACTCCTTCCTCCGCAACGAACTTCAGATCGAATGATCAAATTTAGAGTGGACATTTGTCAGGGCATTTCCTTGTTGAAATACGAATGAATCTTATGTAGTGCATGCAGTGTAGGAAACAAAAACAATTTCCCGCGAACCTGAAGCGACAAATCGGAATTTCCTGGAAAGAGTATGCAAGGGACTACGCGGGCAGTCCGCCCGCGCGTCTCCGTTCCCGCGAACCTCGTTCGCAGGTTCGCAAGGGTTTTCGTAGCCTGAGTGCATGAGGTAAGAATGCAGAGCATATTTTTTTAAATTATATGAATGACTCCTCTAATGTATTTTCATGAGAGGTTCCTTTTAATTGTCAATCATGAGCAATATGACGAGAAAATCTTTGCCATTATGTCTCAATAAATGAATGATTTGGAGTGCCCAAACCATCTTCTTGTAGGCGTATCTCATAAGTGGGTTTGAAGAGGTTAAACAAACAAGGTCAACCCAGTCCAGTATTAAAAGACTGACTGCGAAAATGAACGAAGAGATACGAGGTCTTTCATATGAGAGGTATTTTGAAACATTGGGGCGTTGTTTGTTTGAAAAACGGTTATTGAGGTTAATGAGATCGCATCCAGGCATTTAAGGGAATCCTTAGAGCCTTGTAGGTTTTTCAACTCGATGGTAGCAGCTGCAGGAGAAGAATCATTTCTAGTTGATTAAACCTCAAGTGGGATCGGGGTTTCGCAACAGTCACTGGTAAAAGGTGGTAAATGAGTGGAGCGCACTTGGTGATGTAGTTGCTGCCTCTTTTGTGTCCTTTTCTCCAAAAAAAGAGATTAGATACCTTCATGGACACGATTTACAAAGTCTAAAAATGTACCTGGCTACTCTGTTTCATGACGTGGCAGTCAGATCAACGCTGAATGCTGCGTTTGTGCCTTAGGTCAAGATTTAGGACTGCTGACGCCTTTCCTGCTGTGAGCAAAATTAAAAATGTTTAATTTAAAATTAAAATTCTGCATTTTACGGATTTTGCAGCCAACGAACTTCGCTTGGTTTTTTTAATTATATTATTTTGCCCATATCTAGCTTTGCTTACCTATTTCCCGTTTGGTCACACCTACAGTTTCTGAGTTGTCAGGTAATGAATGTGTGAAGATAGATATGCAAGCAGGACGGGACTATCCAAAAAAGTAATAGAGATGTTGCTAGCATTTATTTGGCTAAGATATGGTGCCGATATACAAATGCAGACCCTATCTCCCTGTTACATATTTGGATGAACTGTTAGTGGTATTTACTTGTTCGAAATGTTCATCATGAAGATCGGTTTTAATCATATGAGCCGCACGACAGTCCCAGCTAGTTCTTGTGAAATCACCATTCTGACCCAGCGGTGATCCACGAAAATAAATTGCCTTTGTGCTATCAGCGCTCTGAAATGAATGCGAATTCGATCTTTGGCTTGGATTTTGCAGGCCTACTGGACATGGTGACGGTATTGATAGGAGTGTCTCATGGAGGTCGTGCAATTGGTGGAGTGATCCATCAGCCTTTCTTCTCATCTGAGGGAAGAACCGTCTGGGCTTTGGAGGGGCTCCCTATCTTTCCCCCCATCGGAAAGATAGGCTCTCGACCCCCTGGTTCGAGGGACTTGACCACCACTCGGTCTCATCGATCGAAAGTAGGCAGTGACTGCATCGAAGCCTTCAAGCCGTCCAACATCGTGAGGAGTGGTGGAGCCGGAAATAAGGTCCTATGAACTCTGCAAACCCCCCCCCCCCCCCCTCAAGTCACATGTCATTTTGTGCATGTAGATTATATATATTTTTATACGTGTAGGTGCTGATGGTGGTTGAGGGAAAGGTAGACGCATATGTGTATGCATCCACTGGAACTAAAAAGTGGGACACTTGTGCCCCAGAAGCCATTCTCCGTGCAGCAGGGGGCATCCTCACAGACATCCATGGATCTCCTCTACCATATGATAGAGATGCTCAGCACATGAACGCTCGTGGGATCTTGGCATCACGCTCTCTGGAATTGCATGAGGAACTCCTGGCTATGGTCCCCCAACATGTCAAGGATGCACTTTCCTAGTCCAATGTTATTATTATTCCTGTTTCCCGTGTTTTCGCCCATAACTGATGTGTTCCATGTTGCGGTCCGATAAGTATTCAGCACCATGTGTCCCGGCTGAAGTTCTTTGTTTCACCACGCAAGGTGCATACCAAACCTTTCATTAATTCTATGAATAAATTTGCATATGGGGTACTTGTGCATGAGGCATGCATTCTCATGGAATTAATGCCTTAGAATCCAGAGATAAAGAGACTGTATTTTCACCCATTACAAGGTTAGAATAGAAACTGAGGGCTCCCTCCATGCCGCGAGAAAAGAGAAAGCACCGATTGAGAACTGCCGGCACCCGCAGATCAAAAAAGTTCATCGCATGTGATGAAGGTGGGGATGATGTTGGTGCCGATTGACATTGCCATTACTGACTTCCTTCAGGTCAGTTTCCCACGTCAAGGGACGATTGCAGTTCCCTTGATTTGTACATGGAATGGGTCGTTCAACGAGGGGGTATGCCACCAGGTGACCCTCTTCCCGGTGCTCCCGTCGTCCCTGGCAACGGTTGCTGCTGCTCGTGTTCCTTATTCCTATTCCTATTCCCATTCCTCCTCCTCCTCCTTCTCCTCCACCTCCTGAGAAAGGGGAAAGCAGAGATTAGGAAGTTTGGTGTTTAGACAGCAATCCTCAGGCACCAACCTGTCTTGTTTCGTTAGAACTTTGGTAAAGGGAGGATTCATCATCAAAACTCATGCATAATGCAAACGAAAATTGAATTTTTCATCTTGAATACACCAAACATGTTCGATCAACTTCATTCATCATAGGCTACGGAGAGAGAAGAGAGACGCACCTCCCAGGATAGGAAGTGGAATAGTAGGTGACGCACTCCTCCGTCGCTGTCGCAATGCCTTCGATCGACATTCTTCCACGAAAAATTGGAAGTAGTTTCGAAATCTGTACGAAGAGAGGAAACAATGAGAGGCGATTGATTGAGATCCTCGGAGGTGAAAATGGTAATGAACATCGAGGCTATACTTGGCATTCATGAAGTAATAGACGATGGGATTGATCATGGCATTGGACATGGCCAACCAGTAGAAGACGAAATATACGTGCACCACGGACGTGGATTTGGCCACCTGAAAAGCAACGAGAGGTCACATGAGACATGCTGATAGGAACGATAGGTCATTTGCCTCTCGAGTCCATGAATCCGTATGCCCGTTGCCATTTTCCTCCCGACACTCGTCTTTTGACGGGTAAGGCTTTCTCTCGGTGGGGGCAATGAAACTTGGCGCGATGGAAAACCTCGTTACTGGAGTCGGACTGAGTGATTGAGGATTCCCAAAAAGCGCGATCAATTGCTTGTTATCCCTCGTCCCATTCCCATTCTTTCCAGCTTTGCCTCCACATTTTTATTTATTTAACTAACAATCCAACAAGCATCCCAGGAGAAATCTGCCGGAAACGCAGAGAGAAACTTCAAGGTATATAACTTCTGACACGAATTTAACTTTACGGGAATCAGAAGGGGAAGCAGGCTCGACCTTTTTTTTGGATGAGAAAGAGCCTTTCCGCCAACGATATGAGTTCCGCATAATGATCTCGTATATATTTCGTCCCCGGATTCATGTTCCACGACAAGAGGCCTTTCCTCCGAAAAGAACGGTCGGGAGGCGAAATGGCACTGATATTCTCTGGCCCTTTCATCCGATAGTTCAAATATCCTTTCTCTCTTACCATAAATCGTCCAGGAAGAGTGAATTTACGAGCCCATCTCATCCGGGAAATCACAATTGGGGCTCACAGTGCTCACCCGCACTGAGAGAAGGAATGAAGGAGAAAGGACGGATTTTTTTTCAGAGGGAGATGAAGGAGACAAGAAGGAAGGAAAGAAAGAAAAAGAAAAATGTTCTCTCTGGGATGAGAATCCCCGGTGCATGATATTGAAGCAGGCCTCGGAAAGGAAAAGCGGGTCTGGGATCTTCCCCCTCTCCCCGGATTCACTCTCTCAGAAGACGAAATGGATTTTCTTTACCTCCTGGTTGTGGTAGGCATAGAGGAAATGGGCATGGTAGGGCAGCCAGCACACGGCGAAGATCAAGACGATCACCAGAAACATCTTCACCACCTGAAAACACATACACATCCGAGATTTTTCCCTCTCCTTTCCATCACTTCGACGCATACGAGATCGATTAGAAGGAGGTAATGATGTTGACCTTCTTCTTCGATTGGATGTTTTGCAATTGCCTCTGCGTGAGTTCGCCGATGGTTTTGCTCCAGCAAAGCTCCATGCCGATGAGCCCATAAAAGATGCTCATGGCTATCCCAGGCACCACGTATGTCACGATCAGAAACACCACGTTGTACCTGAAGGAAAAAAAAAATCTGAGAAAGCCAGAAGCCCAGTGAATCGTGCGTGAATAAACCTGTTATTCCGTTCCAAAAAAGTAATTCCATTTATTCATGTGAATAACCTGGAGTAAATGGAATGCGATCGGTAGAAATGCATTAGGGAATCAGGAAAGACGAGTTAACACAATGAATTGGAGAGCGAACGAGACTACCCGCTCGAGACTTCTACGTCACCTCTCAGTTCATCTCACATCACGGGTGGGGGGGGGGGGGAGAGACCCTTTTCGTTTGTCTTCGTTTCCTATGCAAGATCCGTTGATCCGAGTGACGAAAGCACGTTCTCCCGACGCGAGGCGCAACCCTAATCGTGATGAATGAAACCCCCTCCGTCTCTGAATGGGTATCATTCGTTTCCCAACAGGAATTCTAATGCGACTCGGAATCCCACCTCTTTTCGAGATTGAACCTCGTGTAAGGATGGGGAGGTGGTGCGAAGGGAAGGAAGTTAAAGCAGTCCAACATTTTCATCCTATTCCGCGAACCGCCTTTCGCAAAAAATGAGAGAATGAAAAGGGAACTCCTTTTTGCAGATGTGCATCCATTTCGAACAGAATTTTTCAAAGTCGAAACCAATTGGTTCAAACTAGACTTGCAAGTGGTCTTGAAAAAAGAATTCATTTTCATATGAATAGGTTTGGATCACCGCATATTTTACTACGGGGGGGCAGGTGGGGCGGCAACTCCCCCTGCCCCCTCGGAAGTGATGAGGTAATATTTTTCCTCCTTGATATCGTTCGGATGGGGTTAGGCACCCTCGCTCTGATGCCCTGCCAAAATACGACTCTTCGACCAAAATACGCCACTGGTTTGGATGCTGTGGAACCCAGAGGAAAGTAGACGATTCATACGTGTTTCTTGAAAATCCTCATCCTCGAGTCTTTCCACGGAAATTTCAACCAAAATCATAAAACCATCGGAATTTCGTACATCCTAGTAAAGATATGTTTTCTAAAAGCTCAAAGAATTTTCCTGCTATAAGAAGAGTGATGGAGTGTGGCTGCGTTCCAGGCTCTTCCTACGTTCGATTTCAAGGTGCATTTGCGTCAGAGAAGATAGCATCGTGATAAGGTGCGATACGTGAGTCATGCTATTGTCGTAACGAGCAAAAATGATTAAAGGGTGGGTTCCAACAAAACCATGATTATGTCTTACACAGCATAACATTCCATTTTCGAAAGCTCGAACGCTTCTGCATTCAAATCTCAATGCATTCTTCGAATGCATTGAGATTTGAAATTTGAAATTTGAGATTTGAAAAATCGTTTCCATGTTGTGAATTACGTTTTTTGCTGAACTTAATCCTCTCATAAAACCAGCTATCTTGAAAGATTTCCTTTCAGGTTCACCTTTAATAGTGGAATGTGAGATGAGTATATTTGAAGCTCACACTGGAACATCTATGCCGATCAAAAATTCGCATGACCACTTGTCTTGATGATTCACAAAACCAAGGGTACCAGCCCAGATACCGATTTGCCATTCCACTTGTTACTACGGACACCAACCACAATACCGTAATACCACAGTTACCGTAAATGCTGCTTCACGTCCAGTAGGAACCGCCTAAACGTCATCGGTGATGTTTCTTTAGTTCTCAAGATACCGTAACTTGGAGTAGTATGTACATGCATATCTACCACACCACCCAAGCGAGAGCAACAAAACTTTGTATTTAGGAAAACACTAACGTATATCACAATTTTACCAAGTTTCAGCTCACAACCTCCCACCGCTCCTGAAAAACTAAAATTTTAATTTTTTATTTTAGCAATTAAAGCTGCAAAATTAGTAGCGTAGAAACTGTGGATTGTACTGTGGAAACTGTGGACAATAAGAAACTTAGACGAGATAGAAATACAAGAAGGAAAAAGAACAAATGAAAAATCGATCGCAACACCTGAAATTTACTCCCTATCCATTCTGAGAATGATAACGAGGTAAATTCAAACGCTGACCGATGCAGTATTTTTTTTTGACAGATGATCCATGCTTTATTGCTGCCTTTGTTGGCCCAATGATGGAGAAAAACCGCCGGGAGTCAAGCAACAGAAGCGTCCGCGAAGAAAGAGCAAGGATGAGAATGCGAATAGATTCTCAAGAGCATTCTCGAGGACTGAAGATGTCAGGTCGATGCATCGCTCTCCACACCTCTTTTTCCTTTCCGTCTGCGTCTTTCATCGTGCCGTTATTTTGTCGAGGTCTTGGAGGTTAGTTCCGTCTTATTAATTTGATTAGCAAACCAAAGATATAGATATATATGAGGACACCATTTGGCAATCTTTCAATCCGATGAACAGTCATGTGAATTACGGTCATGCAACAAACGTGTTTATTTCTATTCGATTGCGTAGTAAACTTTTTGTACCTATATTCTCGAACCCAAGAGTGCAATTTGCGAAGTGCATTGGAGCCTTATCAAGAAGTCGGAAATGATGATGAAATAAGCACGTATGGATAATCAAAAGAATATAGATTCTCAAAATTGCTTGTAATTCCTCAATGCCTTGATGTCATGTGAATAACGCTACTCCAGGAAGGATCAAGGAAGGAAATGCGCCAATATTCCCTAGTCCCTTTCCACGCAGGGCGGAAATTCCATGGAAGGAAAGGATGGAGAAATAAACCATAAGGAAAATGGGAGGGAAAACCGATTACAGGATTCCTGTGGTAATTAAGAAATGGATTTTTTTTTATGCATCTGCATAATTTCTTGCAGCGCCATAGCAATGTACGACTCGGCAGCATGTATTACTCGAAGAAGAAGCGATTGGTGCCATAAAAAATGTACAAAAAATACATAATTTAGCCTTTTGCGCTATCATGCATATCCATGCATTTATCTGCATATTTCACCCATTTTCTGCCGAAAATTTCCAGAATTAATTCATGGGAGGCCGATTTTCAAGCAGAGGTTTTTCTCCTCTTAAGGTGCAGAACATAGAGTAATAGTGCCGAGCAATCGTCGGAACAGGATCTAACCAGTTCGTGTCCTTAACACGTTGACGACGATGCGTCCTGATGCCAGGATGCAGATTTTTTTTCAATGAATACCTTGAAATCATAATCTTCTGGAACGTTCTCAACAGTTCCAGAACAGGTATTCTCAACAGGTATTCATTGAAAAAAAATCTGCATCCTGGCATCAGGACGCATCGTCGCCAACGTGTTAACAGTGTATCAATTGCATTGTAGGGCAGGCGCTACCCTCGCCATCATTTCGCAGGTGTAACTTATATCCTCTGCTCTGGTTTGAAGTACTGATATTTTGAAATGTCAGTTCATATCAGGAACTTGAGTCACACCCGGAGAGAACGTACATTGTATTTTCAGCGAAGATGTATGCTGATTCACGGTAATACGACAGCAATTGAGAAAAGAATTCTAATAAGATCCACTGGAGCATCCTGAAATTGCATTTCCAAGCATAGCCTTGCCCCAGAGTGAATAAAGGACTCGCGATATTTTATGTCCTATTAATATTCTTGAAAGATGTCCCGATACTTAGCTCCAAGGAACCTGACGGATTAACGATCCGGTTCCGTCGGAGCGGGAACGCCTCGTCAGCATTGCAAATGCGTGCCTATCTTGAATCTAAACGAGTGCAGACATAATCGATTTCGCTCTAATGGATGGACGTTACTTTCAGTTCCCTGGCTTTTAAACTTAGCTGTATCTGAAAAATGGACCGGGAATTGCCATCCCCGCAGAGCGATTCATGAGCTATTATTGAAAAGAAAGGCTTATGAAAACCATCTACAATAAAAATTCGGCCCGAAGTCTGAATTGGAATGGAAGGGATCCTTCATTTTTTATCCGGATGATAAGTCGCTCCACTCCCAACACCCAACATTTTCCATTTTCAATATCCAACTTCTTTCAATAATGTCTCATAAACTTGCTTTGGAAGTATGAATTTGAAGGAATTTGCAAATTTCTGCTGGGAACATATCGACCTATGGACAGCACGGCGAAAGTTTTGCGAAACAAGCAGCAACAAGAACTGAGATTTCTTAGAAGTTGGGGTCTTTCGTCTCTCTTTTGCCATTGCCTTTATACAAAATTCATGCTGGATGCACGTAGATGCATTTCTTGGTGCCTTGGCACTTATACCTCATGTACTGTGTAGTGGGATCTGTGTTTCACAAATTTAGCATTGGATTTTACGCGAACCTTTTGACTCGGATGGTTCGTTCTCTCGGATCTGGAGAGTTTCATGCCATTAAAATTAATTTGTGCCTCTGAACGGATCTATCGAGTGGTTTATTTGATTTTAAGCTGCTTTGGCCTTCCAGCGGCCCTCATTTGGTGCTCTCAAGACCTTCTCATAGGTTCTACTATTTCCCACAGAATAGTCCTGATCCAAATCCAGGAAATAGAGTGAAAATGATTCCCTAAGATTCCCTAAGAATATACCACGATTCGAAGCGAATCTCTGTCAATTTTTAGGGTAGCGACGAAGATGAAAAAGTGCGGCGCATATTGAGTGTTTTTACTCAAACAGTGATCCACTTGGAATGCCGGGTGGTGTACTTATCTGCAGCGCCGACTGAGCTTATCTGCCTCAATCCTCATCCTCGAACCATATTTTTCCTTCCTTCCCCACAAGGCGTCAAACGAAAATCGATCAACATCGAACAGTTCCAATCCTTGCTATTATTTATTTTTCAAATCGATCTTTAATCGAGGATTCCAGAATTGGGTGCGACCTTGGACTCTTTTTCTCCTTGTTCGTTCCCTCATGAAGGAGTTGAACCATGACACGCGACTCAGAGGCATTGGCGGATACAGAAATTATTCATAGGGGGGCGCTTCCCTATTTCCTACCCCCCCTGGATCCGCCACTGCTCAGAGGTAATCGAATTCCATTGGGGGAGGGGGAGGAGGGGGGGGGGGAGAGAGAGGAAGAAAAGGGGGCTTCAAAGGGAGGGTAAGGAGGCTTTGAAAGGGAGAACTTGGAAGAGACACTCACACATAGTCCTGGTATGAGGATGGAGGATTCCCATCTGGCCACTCCATGTAGCACATCGTCCTCGTTTCATTGTTTGCATACCTGCAGGCACAAATTTTTTTCTTGCACATGTCTTTTAAAATATACGGACGAATGAATAAGTGAATAGGAGGAGGAGGAAAGTAGACGGCACCAGCTTGCCGCAAACGGTCCTGTCTGCTTGGCTGTCAAGAAGCAACGCGGTACGGAATCTCCCGCCGGTGAGCATTGTGCATTTAACCCCTTAAGTGGGGAATTTCTCGGACAGAAACCTACTGCCGGAGTCGGAAATTATTTTCATGAAAATAATAATTCGTGTTTATGTAAGAAATGTACCACTCTTTCTCGAGTTTATACTCCTAATCTGAGTTTCGAATTCATATCTAACTCAAATTTTAAATATGAGACGGGGAAAAATGGAAAACCCCCTTGAGCATTTCACCATGACTGATATGTACGTAAATATACTCTCAAATTGCGATCCCAAAAGCTTTGTACACATATTTTGACAATAGTCACAATTTTGGCAATCGAGTAGAAATTTTCCATACATTTGTCTGATCGTCCTTAAAGTGCTAAGATAATCTAGTAGAATTCGTAGACGTATATGGACATGCTTCTTCCCTTCCTATGATTTAATCTGAGAGATCTCTTGATCCGAATCAAGAGCTCGTAATGACTCTTTCCTTTTCATCTGGGCTCAACAAGTGCTCCTCCCATCTCATTAGTGCCATGGATGCGGGTGAAGTAAGTCTTCCCTTACGATACGGGGATCGATGCAAGGAACCCGTTGCCTGCTAGCGGCGCTCGTCCTTTCCACTAACGAACTTTATTTCCGTCTCCTTCACGATCCTTCGTAAATGCATTCACGGGCCTCTCATCGATTTCCTGCGAGCTGCGAAAATGCGGGAGCGGTCACTCACGTGAATTGAATGGTTCTGGAATAGATGAGGCAGGGGATCGCGAGGAGACCCGACGCCATCCAGATTCCAGCGATCGATGCACCCATGCATTTCTTCGAGATCCGAGGTCTTAATGGACGTACGATCGCCATGCACCTGGGTCAATGGAATCGTGTCACGCCTCGCCACAGAGACTCCACGGCGTATAAAGGGAAAATAAATCTTTGCGACCGTTGGATGGGAGGGGAAAAAAACGAGCACGCAAGATTTCCTGCGTGGCCCCAGTCCGGGAAAATAACGATGGATAAAAATACATGTTGGAGCAGCCGTTTTCCCTTTAATGAACTATCGGAACAAAAGGAAGCAGAAACGGAAATGGTTTCCCTTTTTTCCTCTCCTTACCTGTCAGCAGAGATGGCAGTAAGGGTAAATACGCTTGCAGCCACGGTGACGTTGGCAATGAAATTGCTGATGGAACAGTAGACGTTCCCAAATGGCCAATCCCTGCAAAGACGAATCAATCATCAATATCGATCGATCGGCCCGTCGATCACAACCTCATTTGAAATCTATTGCATCGCATCCTAAGATTTGCTCTGCATTATATGTTAATGAATAGAAATAAATTATCGATATGATTCAAGAGGATGCAGTTGAATTTTTGATTCGGTGATTACGAATGAAGCCGGAGGAGGAGTATGCAAGAAGCCTATATATGCATGGGACTATTACTAATTTATTGCAGCGTTGCCTTGTGGCATTGCCACATGTGCGGGCAAGGCACCGAACAAGAAGTACTAAATACCAAAAATAAACAGAAATATACGATCGAACCCGCTAGGGATCTTACTGGGTGCCTTAGAGGCAGCGCATTTATTCGCACAGTGGACAAGGTAAATGTAGCACGATTATGTATTGATGATTCCATACATTTTCCCTCCTTGTATTGCTGATTGCCCGAGAGCAAAGGAAAACGAGTGTTTTTCTTGAAAGATTTCATAGACTGATGGTCGTGTCCAGTCAAGGTTTCCGAGAAAGGAAGCAGAGGAGAGAGTTCCTTGTTACAAGGAAAATAGAGAAGGCGATAGAAGTTAATGACAATCGCGAAGTCACGACGAAGTTGGAGTTGGACGAGTCCCTAAGGGTTTTTCACGCTGAAATCTTGAGAAAGTGTGCTTGCATTCCATCGAGAAGGGGGAGGTGAATGAACGGAGCACCCCCCCCCCCCCTTCCCCCAAAGATGGAGAGACATACTTCAGGATTGGACTACAGTGGATTCGTATAGCTGCAGAGAAAGAGAGGAAGGCCTTTTTTAGAAATGAGGGCCTAAGTGGGCTGATTATTGAGGGCAAGCTATAGAAGCTTCAAGGTATTGCAAGGGTGAAGAGATGTACTTCGAAAGGTGAGACGGATGGAAGAAGGCTGTTTCCTTCGGGAAGAACGATGAGATCGCTTTACTATTGGATCGAAAGATGAGTTCCATCGAGAAGCCCACTTAGGTCTGGATTTCAAGTCTGTCAGGAGCGAGGCAATCTCTCGCTCCACGAAGACGCGAGGATTTCGGAATGCATGGAAAGTGTCATCCGCAGACTGAATGACCTTCTCCGGAGTATAGGTGATGCAATCAAGTGAGAGAGGGTCGGACCAGGGACATTTCCCGGGAACTCTAGAGTGGATTGCTGAGGGAGCCGAGATATAACCATTCAGAACGATGGATTACTTGCGGTCGGACAGAAGACCACGAATCGGATGGAAAAGAATCTATACTACTAAGGCTATTATATTTCAGAGTGTTTGTGTGTGTGCGAGTCCTTTGTGCACGGCCACGCCTCTGATCCCAGTCCGACCAAACTTAGCAGGGCTTCCTCATTTGGTTCGGGGATGGTCATAGGCTAGGTGGCGTTTCAAAATTCGGACCCCTCGCGGTACTTCATTTAGTGCAGATTTAGCCAGTCGACTAATACAGACCCCCCAAGAAGTCAAAATCTTGGGGACTCATTAAAAAATTTAATTTGTAACTTGCAGCTTGCTACTGGAATTTCCTATTGGTTATGTAGTAAAGACTACATATTTTAAACAATTTCTACCCTGCTTTGCCAAAGAGGCATAAAAACAATATTAAACCCTCGAATATGGGATGTACAGTATACAATATACATGCCCATACAACGCCGGGTACCTCCGCTAGTAAGTTATATGTTGTGGCCCCCTGTGTCATATTCTGTCGGAAACTTTGAAGATGTCGAATGGCAGGACTATTCCACCACCAGAAGGGTTTGAAACCATTCAGAAGACACAAGAACTAGACAATCAAGAATTGACCAGAGAGGGGGGGGGGGACTATTATGTATGGTACAACAACAATTTAAACAATCTTTTATATCGATAGATCTTATTTTTGCTGAACACACTGATTTCCATGTTACAGACTGGACTCCTCTACTGTCTTCCCTTTTTCATACTTGTCATTATGCTTTCTTTCAATCTCTTAGAATGTTCCACTCAGTATCTTTTTCTTTTAAAATAAATATGCACTAGCGGCCTGCGGCCGCTACGCTGGCCGTCTAATGGGCGGAAATTTGAAAATGTTTATATAAAGATATGAAGCAGTTCGGTTCAAACCAAACATTGCCATCTACAGGGTGAGTCTTTTAAAAGTAGGTTAAAAGTATACCAAAGTTTTTATGGCCTAGCCTATGGCCTAGAATGGCATAGCCTTGTAGGCATTGCATGTTAAGCCGCGGATGAGTGACAACCATTCACCACCGCTTTCGGCCTCTTTCAATTTTTATGGCTTGGCCCATGATCCAGAATGGCAGAGCCTTGTAGGCCTGGCGCTTTAGGCCGTGAATGGCTATGCCATTCTAGGCCATTCTAGGCCTATGGCCTAGAATGGCATAGCATCGTAGGTTTCGTCCTCTTTCAATTAAAGTATGAGATGATGCAAATTAGGCATATCCTGTGATCGATCTGCGTCAGTAGCACATACGTGGTGGATCACCAGGGCGTGGGAAGCGATGTGGTCGCCCACCACCTGTACTAGATTGCGAGTAATCTGCTGCATAAACCGCCTGTCCCCTTGGCCCGCCACCTTCCTGGCCGATATACAATGTATAATCAAGTCGCATAGAGGTGATGGAACCTAGCCATGTCATGGAAAGAGAGGGTATACGAGTGCATATGTACTAGTATTCAGAGTAAGTCTTATATATAGAAGGTATGTAGGTGTTTTGCGTGATCACGCAACTGATCATTTCGCGCATTGCACAACTTTTTGCCGAATGCGTGCAAAAAATCGCATGTTTACATATTTCATGAAATCTGCTAAGGCGTTACCTATTGCGGGCATTCTCTGTATTTTCACGCAAGTAGCAAGTGGAGTTTCAGACAGGACGTTTTTCTAATCAACTAGAAATTCCCATTCTACTCTCGTGTAACCAGTCCATGCTCACGGAGGCTTAAGGCCACCGCACACGACTCGATTTCCCGTGAAAATCGGACCGTGTGAGGTGACATCCGCCCGGAATCGGGCATTCCCGCGCATTTTCCCATCCTCCGACCATCCGACACGTCGGTTGAAAATCGAATCGGATGCGACTGGATGTGCTTCATTCGATTCTGCACGTTGGGGGACCGATCAAAACATGCAACGTCATGGAGAAGCGGCTGCCCACGAGCATGCCGATGGCAATGCCATGACTTTGCTCGAAACTGCCTGCATCGATTTTTATTTTACGATGTTTGGTTGATATTTGGGTTCAACATCATTCACTTGACTCCGAACTTTCCGAAGCATGTTGACCTCATCCTCATCACCTTCACTCGATGATTTTTTAGTTCGCAAAAATCCTGTCGGAATCGAGTGAAAGAACTGCCACACTCAACGGGAAATGGTACAGGTTCGAAGTTCTGCACGATTCTCGCCGGAGACGAACGAGGGAAAGAGAGGACCGAGGAAGGCTTCTCATTATCTTCCTAATCCACGACTGCAGGCGACCACGCCAGGGAACTTCTGATTGGTTCACAGTGCATGCCTGGTCAGAGACGTCCGACCGTTGTCAGGGCCGTGTGCGGGTGCCTCGATTGAGTCCACTTCCGATTACTCATTCCTGTCCGACGCTTCTCCGACGGGTAATTGGATCGCGTGCGGCGTTCTTTAGGGTTTTCTCTCATTTGGTTTTGACAACTCCTTGCTCTTGTTCATTTCCTTTATCTGGTGTGCCACTCGATCGCAGTGCAAGGGCCCTCTCCAAGAGTGCTACGGTTGCCACGAATATGTTGACATCATTTGGACAAAATCGTCCCATCTTTTCAATGAAAATAAAAAAATGGCCATTGCTCAAAGCGTGCAATCAGCAGTATGTTTACGTCGATTGCACACACTTTGAAAAAACATAGCTCATTCCATGCAATGGGCACAATGGCTGCTTATGTCAATGATATAACTAAATCGTTGCGCAACGTGCACAATGAGCACAGATCTCGCATGTGTATAAAGTAGAAGATTAGAGGCTATGCATGACATTGCCTATTAGCCACTCTCTCCTCGTGTCGTCAAGGATCTCAGCATTGATATTCAAAGACACGAACTTGTGGTGAAGAGACAAGCCTCTTACTCATGGAACGAGAGATGCTGAAGGGCGAAGTGTCTTATCTTTATATTTTCATCTTATCTTTTCTAGCGTACACGGTCTTTACGCTTCCCTGTTCCTAGTTCCTATGCAAAACCTCAACATGTGATCCAGAATCTTATATTGCGACAGAACATTGTTATTCCACCTTTTCCTACTGCCTGTCCATAAGTCGCTTAGTGAAGAGAGGAAAGGGGAGGGGGGGGGGGGTAGTAAAAACTTTTGTCAAAAAGCAGGTGCTTCTTGGTTGCGTTCGGAGGCTGCAGGAGAAAATGGGTGTCACCTAGTGGGGACTTTTGGTGGAAGAAAGTGGAGCATAGAGATCACCCCATGTAGCATGCAGGGATGGGATGAGACCTTGTGACCCACCACTGAGATCGACTCATTAGACGCAAAATCCTAAAGGAGGTGGTTCGTGGGCTGATCTGGTATTCCAGCCGCCACATTACCACGTCCGCCAGGAATCCGTCGACTAGCGCCTGGAGCGCCTCTGACCCACTAGCTCCGTGCTGCTTGGGAAGGGACATTGAAGCTGTTTTCGGTTATGAAAGCCAGAATCATTATTTAAATTATAGTATATAGTGAAACAACTAAAAATATTGCATCTCTAAAACTTATTCTGGCGATAATAGGCTAAATTTGTGCTAAGTTTTTTCTCTCAAGTTTTACATCAAAGTTATGGTTAAAGAGGTCTAGTTTCAATAACTTCCAGAAGGAATAGAGATAGAATGTTTTTTTTATGAGAATAAAAGTTTGCATTTTGTTTTTCTGATTTGAATATTCTTTTTTCGTTAAAAGCAGAGGTTGAATAAAGAAGCTAGTGCCAAGTGAGTATTACAGAATCGAGAGGAAATGGAACCTTTCGTGAAATTTTGAGAGGCCGTAACTCCGGAACTGTCGGTCGGATCAAGCTAAAACTCAAGTTTTAGCCCGATCCGACTTATAGTTGAGTCTCTACAGATTCAAAACTTCTGTGACGATTTCTCATTAGTTAAATTCATGTGGAGTCGGCAGCTTTCCAGACAGATCGTTTACAGCCTGATCGAAGACGAAGGAAATATAACAGAGACGGAGTGTAAGAGAGTTTGGGTGTGCAATTTTTCAGGACGAGCAGATGGAATCGGGACTACAATGCTTAAGGATGGATCCAAGAAGAGAAGTATGCAGCAATCCTTTAGAGGGGAAATTCTCATGGATTTCTAGAAAAACAAGTTTGAGCTGAATAAAAGGAAGTGGGACGTCGTCTTGCTTGTAGGACTGGAATGGAAAACTTTCCTCTCGCAGGATTCGCCTTTCCAGCTCCAACGACTCTTTAGAAGAGGTCGAGACAAGTTTCTCCTGCAGGTCGGCGGCGTATTAGATCCATTGTTTCGCCTCGAGCTACTCATCAAATATTTTCGCCACTTCAGCGTTATTCTGCTCAATTCTATCTAAATTATATTTCGATACTTTCGACATAATCTGCTTTAACCGAGATGTTGCAAGATTCCAACCATAAATAGAGTTTGTAATATCATGAAGTCATTTGCATTCTATTATGAAATCCCCTATTCCTCTTCTTCGACGTGGCAGGAATATGGAGCTCTTTCGTTCTTGTCGAAAATTCGGTTACCTCCAGAATCGAAGAAAACGTGGACCACAGCTTTGCGATACTTTCCTGAATACTCCAATCTGTTCATCACAGTGTCACTTTCGGGACTGCCAACAGAAGGGAACGATTCTCGACGGCATTCTGCGCTTTTTCTCGACAATCGAATCAGGCGGTATCTAATTGATCGATCTAATTTATCCAATGTATCGAAACTTATCGGATAATCGATAGTCCTATTGAGCAGTCCCAACTATTAAGAGAATGAATACTCTATATCGGCAGTTCTCAGCCTGTGTGCCGCGAGAGGTGGCAAAGGTGCCGTGGATGTTACGAGTTTTTTCTTTGATCTAAAAAATAAATGGGGCAAGGAGGCCAGGAGGTATATTATTATAACGATGCCACTTTACCGGTGTAATCGAGGGGCACTTTACGGTGTAGGTAGCAAATCGAAGAACCGCGAAGTACGACGCTTCTGACGTCAGCCTACGTTCTTAATAATGTTTCTTTGTAAGTAATATGAGTCAATTTTGATCGAAATTGGCACATATTGGGAACACTGTTATACGCTTTTATTAAGGGAATCTACCCATGAATAATACCAATGTCAATATTGTTGCAATGAAGATTGCTTTTGCTACTCTATTTGTGTCTGCCTTCTCCTATTCTTGTTATATAAAATAAAACTTCTTAGAGAGAAACTAGTTCACTTCCCGTCTAGGTATGAATGACCTGCGTGGGGTCACTTTAAGTTTTGTGCCGTGCCTTGATTTTTCGTGCAGGAAACCTGAAGCAGGCACAGGTATCGTATTCAAGTGAAAAAGTTTGAATCAATTTCCTCGAAATGGTTTACCAAATGCCAATTCAAAATAAATGCCCCTGTATTTCATGAACGGAGAGGTCCTGCCTAGTTCTTTGTCATTGTGCGTGGAGGTTTGCGGATGTGCCGTGGAAGATCGGGTGCCGCCGACATCTCGCTGCCCGAAAAGTGTGCCGTTAAGAAGAAAAAATAGAGAACTGCTGCCCCCCTATCACGGAATGAAAGAAATCCTGGACCAGCATGGAAATCTAAATTCCATCCAGCGAAACATTGCTGATTACGAATTGCTGTCATTATTTTATGATTCCTGTTAAGATCATCCCAAAGAGCGATTACCGATCGTCTCATCTGCACGTGGGTATTAAAACAGCAAGTCCAGAGCAACGCGAGGTGCGCTCTTCGAAAGCCTATACACAATACGTACGAAGTGGTAATATATTGCTCGACTGAAGCCATCTGCTTCTGTCAGTCCGGAGATTTCAACTTCGTGTCAGACTCGTGCTCACCATTGCAACAAAAAGCGATGGTAGACTGGATGAGGATTTTTTCTTTTATTTTCCTCCCAGTTCTTTTCATGCTTCCAGAGCATTTGCGCAGTCCATGCAAATGTTGTTTTATGCGTAACTTGGTGCATTCATCTCACAGTACTATCCCAGAAGATAGAAGATTTATAAAGCAAGTGACGAAGCGCCATGTCTTCCGCATATTAACTGCAGTGTCATGCCCTTCTTCCTACCCAAGGGATATCCTTTCCACTTCTCTCAAATTCTCCATCAAGTCGTCTATGAATAATATAATGAGAAAGGGTGAAAGGAGGCGGCCCTGTCTCATCCGTGTTCACCGAATGCCGGGGGGAGAGGGCCGCAGCCCCATCAGCGATCTTCAATGCCGATTCTCATTCATTAGAGAGACTGGAATGATATGTGTGCTCCCTCTAAGATTGTAGTTTTGACCATAAGATGCCCCAAGCCATCCTACCGAGAGCTTTCTCAAGTCTACCAACGCCATGTACAGTGTACCTCTTTTCTTAGGTTGACCCGATCAACAGAACAACAAATGCGATAGCAACAAAAATCGGTGAGCTAACTCTTATTAACGTCTATAAGCCACCTAACTTGATTTGGACTCTGCCACTAATGCCCGTCTCAAGTCATCCTACCATCTACACTGGAGACTTTAATAGCCACCATACAGCGTAGGGCTACCCGGCAAACGATACTGCTGGTGAACAACTGGTAGAATGGGCCTCGACCCAGAACACATTCCTTCTGTATGATACGAAAGTCTTGCGAGAGACAGTTCCACTCCGGTAGATGGGGCAAAGATTCCACGTCTGATCGTTTCCTGTGACCATAATGAGCAAACGTCTACAAGCCTCAAGGACTGTTCTCGACAACTTTCCCCATAGTCAGCACAGACCTGTCCTGATTCATGTCGGGATAGAATCCCAACCATTACCTCTCTGCCTGAACCACGGTGGAATTTTAGAAAAGCTGACTGGACCTCCTACACGGAAGCAGTCGATAAAACGATCCGCCGCATACCGCCAAAACCTGAAAATTTCCATCGTTTTGTAAACCTTATGATAAAAGCAGCTACTGCCCATATCCCCAGAGGCTATAGAAAGTCCTACACACCTTGTTGGACCCAAGAGAGCGAAGAGCTCTTTAACCCTCGGAACGCCAAGATCGGGTCAAAATGACCCGATGGCCAGTCCTCCAAGGTTCCGTTGGATCGTTTCTTTTTTTGGTATCTACTTGGGAAATAAATACATAAATATCTTAAAAAGGTATGTGTAGCTTCTATTCTGAACAAAAACCTCATTCGTTACGAGAAATATATATGGGTAAAAAATGACCCGATCTTGGCGTTTCGCGGGATGCAAATGATCTTGGCGTTCATAAATATCTTAAAAAGGTATGAGTAGCTTCTATTCTGAACAAAAACCTCATTCGTTACGAGAAATATATATGGGTAAAAAATGACCCGATCTTGGCGTTTCGCGGGATGCAAATGATCTTGGCGTTCCAAGGGTTAAGGAATATACAGAATCAGGCGACCCAAACATCGCCTCTGCCCTCCTGAAGTCATTGGACTCTGCTAGGAAACAGAGATGGACAGAAGCTATGGAAAACCTTGATTTCACGCACTCAAGTCGTAAAGCCTGGCGCCTCCTCAGACACCTTGGCGGAGCAGGACCACCACAAAACAAGACCACCACTGCGTCAGCAAATGATATTGCTGCTCAGATACTAAAGAGCTCAATGAGTTCAACAAACAGAAACAACAAACAAAAGGTGAAAGCTGACCTTCATAGATCCATGTCGGCATGTCCTCCCTCGTCGAGTTTTTCATCCCCCTTCACCGAAGAGGAGGTCAAGATAGTCCTCTCGGCCACAAGATCAGGCAAAGCCGCCGGACAAGACGGCATCTACCCTGAGTTCTTGAAGAACCTAAGGCCTTATGCACGACAGTGGCTGGCCACATTGTTCTCTAACATCCAAGCCTCAGGAAAAATACCTAAGACATGGCGACAATCGAAAATAATTGCCATTCCAAAACCTGGCCCACACACGACCCAAAAAGCTTCAGACCTATCTCATTACCATGCACAGCTTACAAGCTTCTCGAACGGCTGTTATTAGCCAGATTGTGCCCTCTAGTCGAAGCACAAATCCCACCTGAACAAGCTGGCTTCCGACCGACCCGTAGCACCTGCGACCAGGTACTCGCGCTGACCACCTATATTGAGGCTGGCTTCCAGCGCAAACTCACAACTGGAGTCGCTTTCATCGACTTCTCCGCCGCTTACGACACTGTTTGGTGCGAGGGTCTGCTTTTGAAAGTGTCTAACATTGTCAGGTGCAAACAGACACTACGTCTACTATCCTCCATGTTAACCAACCGGAGGTTTCGTGTCCATCTGGGGAACACGATAAGCAGGGCTCGACTATTAAACAACGGCCTACCCCAAGGCTCAGTCCTTGCCCCAACCCTTTTCAATATCTATATTAGTGACATCCCTACCACTGAGTCACGCAAGTTTGGGTATGCTGATGACCTCACACTTGCAGTTCAATCCGTACACCCCACCAAGATCGAAGACGCACTCACAAAGG